AAATGGGAGTGTCTGTGACCTGTGTATGGCTTTGCCCTTACCTGGGTAAGCCAGCCCATTTCAACTGTGCTAAAATTACATTTATTAAAGCAAAATAATTTTTTTTCTAGTACCTTTCCTAGGCACTGAAGGGACTGGTATCAACACAGACACCCCAAGACCAAGTTGTCAGCACAAGAGGAGATTTATTTGCCCCAGAGGGACAAAGTGGAAGAAACAAGAGACAAAGACAAGAGATAGAGGACATGGGAGAAGGAGAAGGAGGGAGGGAAGAAAGGGTATTTATCCTGGAAGGACAATGGACTGCCTCTGGATAGCAAGGAGACAGGCATGGTGCATAAGCAAATGGCAGTTTAGGAATGTAAAAGGGAAAGCTCCCTGTGTTGGATGAGTTTTTTTTTTATTTTTATTGGGCATGTTAATTAGGTGAACCAAAGGGGGCTTTTGATTGCTGGATTTCAAAATTTGATAGGTGGACCCTCGTAGTCAGCCTCAGGAAGAGCAAGTGGACAAATAAGGGAGCAGACCTTGGTGGCTAGGTTTAGGAATGTCATCTAATGGGTTCTAGCAAGGCAGAAGGAATGGGGGAGAAGGACAAGGCCTGCCAGAGGCATGTCTGCCCTGCTTGGACTGACTAGAGCCCCTTCAGGCACTAAGTCTTTGTTCCAAGCAACACAGTCATTAGAATATGTAAACTAGAACATTTGGCATGTTGTGGTTGTCACTGTTCCTCATGTTTAGTTAAGAACACTTGAGTTTCCTTGAAGAGTAGGTTGGCATCAGATGTGATGTGGATGCTAAGCTAAGGGCTTTGCACACTGCATTGTGAAGTGGTGGCTGGAAGATACCAGAGGGACTGGTTGGTCCGGCTGGAAAAAGCTCCTGTCTTTGGCTATAAGGAGACCCAAAGACAAAGACTACAGGGGCTGCCTACCAAGTTGGATTTGACCAAGAAGAAAACAAAATATCTCAAAAAACCTTGACCTCTCCTAACTGAATAAGGAACACAGAATATCTGGGGTAGGGATGAATTTCTAAAGAGAATTCCTCATTCCTGTCTACTGTTGGGTGAAAAGATTCCTGTTTTCCTCTTCCCCATAAAGAAGGCAGCAGGCAAGCCTTCCTTCTAGGTCTCATCTCTGTCCCTACTCATTAGTCAGGATGATACCCCGAATCAAACCAGGATAGGCACTTTGTTTTCTGGACATCTGTCTTTAGAACTGTTTCATCTTCCATCCAGACTTATGCCTTTTGTAATTGTTCTCATCTTTTTGCATTCTCCTGGGTATTATACTCAGTGGACTGATGGTCAGTGTTGTTCTCTGATACATTCTTAGTAATTATAATTTTTTTGTTTTTTCTTAAGACAGTCTCATGTTGCCTAGGCTGGTCCTAAGTTCGTAAGTTGAAGCATAAGCTGTGACAACAGGCAAAAATACCACTGAGCCGGAAGCTCTTTATAATTTCTGTGTGCAATAATATATGGCTTACAAGTCAGTGTCATTGTTCGCTTTTGCAAAATTTTAAGAAAGACTTGAAAACTATTTACCATCAGTATGTGGATAGTTTGTTCATGTTTACATGTAATGACTTTGGAAAGTCTAGGCTATACATTGCTGTCACATAAAGCAATCATGACAATCAGTTGATGGTCCTCACTACACAAATTTATCTATGAGGGTGTGACATGGCAGATTAACTCACATGGTCTGAGAACATGTGAAGACCCAATGCTGGTGGTTGTTTTCAGAGCCCTGTGAAGTTATGGAGGTTCATGAGGCTGTATTCTTAAGTCAAGGGAGGCCCAGTAGTGTCTGAGGCCCAGCCCTGATTGCTCTGTTCCATTTCTTAAAATGCTTTCCAGACACTGAAAACATTTGTTGTATCTTTACTTGCTGCAAATGAACCCCACTGTCATTTTTCTTGGAGCTTTTTAGAATCTCCAAATAATTCCTCCCATATAAGAAAACACTTTCAGTTTCTCTTAATAATGACAAGGAAAACTAGGACTAGCCATCACATGAAGGCAAATCTCTCCACTCATAACCATCTTCTATCCTGCAGGGAAGAGCTGAGAACCCTTGCACAAAGGCTCCTCTTGGCTTTATGAGTCTCTTACAGCACCAATACCACTTCACTGAAAAGGACAACACTGTGGTCTGAGGCTCCTGATAACAACCAAAAACAAACTATTTGATGTCCATGGGGGGGGGGGATTAAAAGTAAAAGGATGAAAGTCATTATACCAAGGAAGTAGAAACTGGGAGCAAGCAGGAATAGTTATGCTGATAGCTGAGAAGGCAGGTTTGAAGGGTTGGAGAGATGGGTTAGCTGATAACATGTTGCATAAGCAAGAAGACCTGATGCTCAACACCCAGGTAAAAGTAGCATAGACAAAGTACAGAAGGACCTTGGGAGTTCAGTGGCCGGCCAGCCTAGTTAAGTGAGAGACTCTGTTACAAAAGTTAAGGTGAAGAGCAATTGAGAAAGATACCAGACATCACCTTCTGGCATACACTAGCACCTGCATGTACATACCCACCTGAACACACACATACACAAGAGAAAAAGAAAGCAGACTTCAGTCAGAAATTTGAAGCAATAAATAAGGTGATTACAATTTTATAAACTCCATCAAGAATGTGCAGTGATGGGAGTATATAAGCACTGGATATTGGTATACCCTGCTTTGTAAATCATACACTCCTGGATATTAAGGGTCATACAGGCCCAGATATAATAATATGGGAAATAATTACTCCCAGTCTCACCAATAGAAAGATAACATAGACCCAAAGCTCAACAGAGAAAACTGCTGTAACTCAAATTGACATGTAGGAATTGTTATATCCAACAGCTATGAAACACAGATTCTTCTCAGGAGCCTATGGGATTTTTCTCCAAAATAGATCACATTTTAGTCCATAAAGCAAGAGTCGATAAGTACAAAAAATAAAAAATGGTGCATCAGATCACAGTGGCATAAAAGAAACCCATAACAAGAACCTTAGAACCTACACATGTATAGGGAGCAAGCAAATAAGCTCCTAATGATTGTGAAGACACTGGGGAGGAAATTGTAAAGCTAGAAAAGAATGAGAAGCAAAGCAGCTTATTAGAATCTTGGCAGTGTAGGGGAGTTCATAGAAATGAGGTATGCTTAGGTTAAAAATCCAATAATACTGTAAATTAACAAAGATGGACCTCAAGACTTCCAGGTAGAACAAATATAACCCAAGATGATACATACAATCAGGGCAGAACTTGATGAGACAGAGACTGGAAGAGCCCAAGAATCAGTGAAACGAAGAGTTGGTTCCTTAAAAAGATATATAAGATCAAGGACCCTTAGCCAAAGTAACCTAGTTGTAAAAGGCCCAAAATAATAAAATTAGAAAGGAAAGGGGGACATTACAACACACCAAAAAAAATCCTGGAGGATCACTAGGGAATATTTTGAAAATATTCCCAAACATTGGAAAGATTAAAATAAATGGTTAAATTCCTGGATACATTTGACCTATCAAAATCAAATCAAGAGGATATAAACAACCTACACACAAGACTGAAGCAACAATGACATTGAAGCAACAAAGAAAAGCCCAGAACCAAACAGATTACTGCTGAATTCTACCCAACCTTTAAAGAATAGAAGCTATGACCCTCAAACTACCTGTCAAGTAAAAAAGAAATAAATGTTACTAAATCCTTTCTTGAAGCCAATATTACTCACTTTTAATTTTTTTTAATTTTATTTATTTTACATCCTGACCACAGTTTCCCCTCCTTCGTCTTCTCTCATTCCTGCCCCCTAATCCACTCCTCCTGTGTCTATTCAGCAAGGGGCAGGGCCTCATGGGTATCAACAAAACATGACATATCAAGTTGCTGTAAGACTAAGCACCTCCCCTTGTATTAAAGCTGGGCAAGGCCACCCAGTATGAGGAATGGGTTCCCAAGAGCCAGCCAGAGTATTAGGGACAGTCCTGCTCCCATTGTTAGGAGTACCACAAGTAGACCAAACTACACAATTGTCATATATATATAAAGGGCCTGGGTATGCAAGCTCCCTGGCTGTTAGTTCAGACTCTGAGTTTCTATGAGCCAGCTGTTTCTGTGGGTTTTCTTGTGATGTTCTTGACCCCCTCTGACTCCTACAATCCTTCCTCCCTCTCTTCAGCAGGATTCCTTGGGCTCCGACTAATGTTCTTGCGGGTCTTTGTATCTGTTTCCATCAGTTACTGGATAAAGAGTCCCTGATGACAATTGGGGTAGTGACCAATGTGATCACAGGAAATGGCCAGTTCAGGCCCACTATTGCTAGGAGTCTTAGCTGGGGTATCCTTGTAGATTCATGGGAGTTACCTTGCATCAGGTTTCTACCTGACCCCAAAATGCCCCCACTTCCAGTCTCCTCTAGTACTCTTCCCCCTCCATCCAGCCCACAACCCAGTCCCTCAAGTTCCCATACCCACCCTTCCCCATCCCTCTTGGGTCCTCCTTGTTACCTAGCCTCTCTGGGTCTGTGGATTGTAGCCTGGTTATCCTTTACTTTACAGCTAATATCTACTTATGAGTGAGTACACACCATGTTTGTGTTTCTGGGTCTGGGACCACAGGATGCTTTTTTAAAAATACAACAAAAAATTAATAAAAATACTAGGCAAGCTGAAATTCATGACACACTACAAAGAACATGCACCATTGTGTTACTTATGTTTCTGTGCTTGTTATGGTTACTATTGCTGTGTTCAAAAGTCAGGACCAAAGCAACTTGAGGAGGAAAGGGTTTATTTATTATCATCACTGTTAATGATCAAAGGAACTCAAGGCAGGAGCTGATGCAGAACCCATGGATGAGTGCTGCTTACTGGTTTGCTTTCCATGACTTGCTCAGCCTGCTTTCTTATAGAACCACCAGCCCAGCAGTGGCACCACCCACAATAGGCTGGGCCCTCCCACATCAATCACTAATTAAGAAGATGCCCTACAGGGTTGCCTACAGTCTGATCTTAGGGAACCATTTTCTCAATTGAGGCTCCCTCTTCCCCAATGACTAACTTGTATCAAGATGGCATAAAACTAGCCAGCACAGTTTCTCATTACTATGATAACATACCAATGGAAACAAAAGTTGGAGAGGTTTATTTTGACTCAGAGTGCCAGGAGGGGGAGTCCATCACAATAAGAAAGAACTGGAGACATGCACCCATAATGACAGGAGCTTATTCACATCTTGGTGGATCAGAAAGCAGAGTACAGGCCCAAAAGCCTTCAAGGACTGACCTAGCAGCCCACTTCTGCTAGCTAGAACACAGTTCCAAATGTCCCACATCCTCAGTGACACCAGTTGGAGGCCACGTGTTCAAACAAATGAGCCTATAGGCAATGCATCACAGTCAAGCCATGACAACCATGATGAAGTTGGTTTCATTCTTGTGATGTAAGGGTGGGTTCAACATCTGTAAAATAACAAAGGCAATATAGCATATAAGTTCAAAAACAAATCAATTATGTGATCCTCTCATAGATGTAGAAGAAGCCTTTGATAGTTCCACATCCCTTCCTGATAAAGGTCCAAAGAAACTCCGGAAAGAACAAACATACCTTAACATAATAAAGTGTATATATAAAAAAGTTAGCCACCTTTATACTAAATTGGGAAAACCCTCAAAGCATTCCCCCTAAAGCCAGGAAGGAGACAAAGATCCACTCAATATAGTATCTGAAATTTTTGACAGAGATCAATAAAGCAAGTGAAAGAAATAAAATGGGGACAAATAAAAAAGGAAGTCATAGTATGCTTTGCGATGATATGACCTTGTTCTTAAAAGACCCAAAAGGATCCATAACACTTTTAGCGAAGTAACAGGATAAAATAGAAAACCTTTTCTATATACGAATAACAAGCATGCTGAGAAAGAAATGAAAATAGTCCCATTTGCAATAGCCTCAGAAAAATAAAACACCCAGGAATAAACAACCAAAGAGTTGAAAAACAATGAAAATTTAAAACATTGAAGAAATTGATGGAGACACTAAAATATGGAAAGACTTCTCATGCTCTTGGAGCTACAGAATTGATATTATGAAAACTGGTCATTTGAGTAAAAGCAACTTACAGATTCTGTGTAATCTCCATCAAATTTCAGATAAGGTTCTTCACAAGATTGGAGAAAAAAACTAAAATTGATAAAGAAGCACAAAATAGCCAAAACAATCCTGAGCAGAAAGAACAATGTTAGCAGTTTAACACCTGATCTCAAAGTATACTACAGTCATAATAACAAAATCAGCACGGTGCTGGCACAAAACAAGCATTGGAGTCGAGCAGAGGGGCCAGAAATAAACCCTCAAGCTACAGCCACCAAGTTACTGAGGAAACATGTCAAAAGCACATTGAAAACAAATCCCAATTAATTGCGGTAGGAATTTGGATTTCACGAGAATGATGCTAGATCCCTCGTCCCATGGGGAATTCAATCCAAATGGAACATGTACCTTCATGTAATACCTGGAACTACCCAAAGAAAACATAAGGACACCACTTGAAGATACAGACATAGGGAAGGATTTTCTGAAGAGGACTCTAACAGCCCTAGAAATAATAAATTAGCAAATGGTATTGCATGAAATTTAAAGTTTCTACACAGCTAAAGAAACAATTGAAGAGACTACCTACAGAATGGGAGAAAATGTAACTGCCAACTATTCATATGATAATGTCTAGGCTATATAACAACAACAACAACAAAAGAACCAAAACACACTCAAAAAAATGCCCAAACAAACCAATAAACATGAAAAGGTCAATAAACATGAAAAAAACAGCCACTGTTCTTAGCCAAAATTAGGGAAATGCAAATCAAACTCTACTGATAGCCTATCTCACCCTGTTTACAATAATATCAAGACAACCACAACACACTGGTAAGGATATGGGGGAAAAGGAGCTCTTACTGCCGCTGCTGGGATATTTATTGGTAGACCCACTAGGAAAGTCAGTATGGATGTTTCTCAGAAGAAATCTAAGAATTGAACAGTCATGCACTATATCTGTGCCACTCTTGTGCCTGTTCCCCTCCCTGACGGTAACTTTCCAAGTGGTCCCTCTGATGCTCTCCTATCATACACATTATGAGTGTAGACCTTGTGCTCCAGAGAAGACAGTGATATTTGTCTGTTCCCCTCCCTGACGGTAACTTTCCAAGTGGTCCCTCTGATGCTCTCCTATCATACACATTATGAGTGTAGACCTTGTGCTCCAGAGAAGACAGTGATATTTGTCTGTTCCCCTCCCTGACGGTAACTTTCCAAGTGGTCCCTCTGATGCTCTCCTATCATACACATTATGAGTGTAGACCTTGTGCTCCAGAGAAGACAGTGATATTTGTCTGTTCCCCTCCCTGACGGTAACTTTCCAAGTGGTCCCTCTGATGCTCTCCTATCATACACATTTATGAGTGTAGACCTTGTGCTCCAGAGAAGACAGTGATATTTGTCTGTTCCCCTCCCTGACAGTAACTTTCCAAGTGGTCCCTCTGATGCTCTCCTATCATACACATTTATGAGAGTAGACCTTGTGTTCCAGAGAAGACAGTGATATTTGTCTCTTTCTAATAGAGTGCATTTCCTGTAACATGAATTCAGTCAATTTTCCAGCAATTTCCTGTTTTTTTTCTTCGTCCATCTGAAGGTGAACATGTAGGCTAGTTCACTACCTTGTCTGCTGTGTACAGCTGCACAGTAAACATGGCTGTACAGTATGTCTGTTCTACAATTTAGGACATTTAGGAATGCACCCATGAGTGGCACGGCTTTACTGCATGATGGTTCGATTTTTAGATTTTAAACTTCCATACTGACTTTTCATAGGCTTTTCTCAAAAGCCTTTCAAGAGAGTCGACTTACTGTTACCACATGCACAGTGTGATCATTTGTAAAGAGCAGCCATACTCCATAAGTCATGTGGGGTTGTTATGTGGAGCATCTCTTTACATATAAATAGATGGACATTAATACAAGCAGCCTTCTTTTCCTCCAAAGATAGACAGCCTGGCAACATTCTCCAGTGCTAATGATTTCTCTACAGCTACTGGTGGACCTGGCAACTGGCTGACTGCCACTAAAATTTTCTCATGTAGTCTATGCACAGATACTGGGCCGCATCCACAGCAATAGTTACTTTTAAAGGAAGAAAATATAACCAGAGTCAACTGCACAACAGTTACAAAGCCCAAGGCAAATAAGCTGGAAGTACTTTCATGATAGGTAATTCGGCTAAACAACAAAGTATGGACTATTACAAGCATAGACTACAAATGAAAAATGAGTGGATCTAGGTATGCATTTGTTTAAGACAATAGGACTCTTCATACTCTGTAAGAAAGATACAGGGCTAGTGGAGATGAAAGCCAAAAGAGAATTTTTGTTTTAGTTTTGTTTTTATGAGACATCTTCTTCTAACCCTTTATGCCCAGGTTATCCTTAAACTTCTGATCCTCCTGCCTCAGCCTCTAGGGTGCTATGGATTGAAGTTATGCATCACCATGCCCACCACAGAGTTCCTTTTTGTATAAACCTTTGTGTTCTATGATTTTTTTTAACTATTGCTGTTACCAATTTTTCACCCCAAACTGGGTCTTTTTGTTCTGTTTAAATTGTGTCTCCAATAAACATAGAGTACCAAGGAGACTTGTGCACAGTCAAAGACAGGAGAAATGGAAGTTATGTGTATAAATCTGCTTGGCTTGTTAAAAACTGAGAGATTTCAGATGCAGAGTAGAAGAAATGAACAATTAGGAAAGATGATTCTTCCTGGGAATCCAGGCACACTTTTGTTTGTTTGGGCTCTTTTATACTTCTTTCCATTCTCATCATGGCTGTTGTCAGTGGTCATAGACCAGTCAGTAGGAGGGTAGGTCATTTAGTACAAGATGGGACAATAATAAAGTTCAGGGTTGTCTGACAGATCCCACCAATTTTTGCCAGCTCATCTGAAGACAGATTTAACCTACAGGCATCCTGTCCTCCAAGATTCAGGCAGGTAGAAATTCTGCTAGGTCAGCAGGTAGTGCAAGTAGTGCAAGATTGCAGTCATACATGAATTGATTTTTATTTCACTAAAATTAAGAGGAAATTTCTTCCTCACTGACTTTTCTGCTTTTAATGAAATAATTTACAAATATTCCTGTTAGGCTGAGGCGATGATTCTGTGGGTAAAAGAGCTTACTGTGCAAGTGTGAGGACTTGAGTTCAAATCCCCTGCACCAGTCTAAAGGCCAGAGAGCATAACAGGGATGTTTCCAACTCTGGAGCTCCTGGGAGGAGGCAGGAAGTAGAGACTGGAGACTGCACAAGCTCTAGGACCAGATCATTGAAGCACAGAGTGGTGGTGGTGCGGGACCCTATCTCCAACAAGGCAAGGACTGACACCCAGGATTGTCCTCTGACCGTCACATGTAGGCCCACACACACAAATATTCTTGCAGAAGTTCAGAAATGGGGAAAGGCAGCAGCAAGAGAGGATAATGAATAGAAAAGGTGATGAGGGATTAAAGCATAGTAAGAAATCAAATATAACTGAGATAAATCTACCTGTTATATAAATAAACTCTTGGATTCTATTGATATAAGACACTTAAAGTGAAACAAAAATTTTCAGAGTAAATTCATATTAATAAAAAACAAATGAGAGGTTGTACCAGCTTGCACTCCCACCAGCAATGCAGAAGTGTTCCCTTCTCCCCGCAACCTCTCCAGAATAAGTTGTCATCTGTGTTTTTGATCTTGGCCATTCTTACAGGTCTAAGATGGAATCTCAGAGTTGTTTTGATTTGCATTTCTCTGATGATGCATTGCTGGAAATGCAAGCTAGTACAAACCCTTTGGATGTCAGTGTGGCGATTTCTCAGACTATTAGGAAACAACCTTCCTCAAGACCCAGTAATACCGCTTTTGGGTATATATCCAAAGGATGCTCAATCATTCCACAAGGACATGTGCTCAACTATGTTCATAGCAGCTTTGTTTGTCATAACCAGAACCTGGAAACAACCTAAATGCCCCTCAACCGAAGAATGGATAAGGAAAGTGTGGTACATTTACACAATGGAGTACTACACAGCAGAAAAAAAACGACAGCTTGAATTTTGCAGGAAATGGATGGAACTAGAAAACATTATTTTGAGTGAGGTAACCCAGACATAGAAAGACAGTTATCACAGGTACTCACTCATAAGTGGTTTTTAAACATAAAGCAAAGAAAGCCAGCCTACAAACCACAATCCCAGAGAACTTAGACAACAATTGGACACTAGAGAGACTTACATAGATCTAATCTACATGGGAAGTAGAAAGGAGAAAAAGACAAGATCTCCTGAGTAAACTGGGAGCATGGGTACCCTCAGGGAGGATTGAGGGGGGAGGGAAAGGTAGGGAGGGAATCAGAGAAAAATGTAGA